CCCCCCCGCCTGTGGCCCACCAGCGGCCACTCTGCCCTGTGAGAAGCTCTCCTCCCCGGGCTCCTGGGATCACCGCCTCCTGCTTTCCCCCTCTGGTCCCTCCTTCTCAGCATTTGTTTCCTATATGCAGCCCCCTAAATGCTGGTGCTCTCCTGGGCTCAGCCTCAGTCCTCTGCTCATTCCCTCCATCCTCTACTCCTTCATAGCGCCATCCCCTGAGCTTCTTCAATACCCCTGCACTCCTGCCTGTGTCTGAAGTCCTTCCCGGTCCCCAGCTCCAGCCTGAGCTCTCCTCCGTCTTCCAGAGGCCAGAAGTCCAGGGGCACCTCATGCCCAACACACTCCACAGACAATTCTTCTCGTCCACAATCTGGTCCTTCCCCAGGGTCCCCAGTCTCATGGAAAGACACCATCAGCAGATGCCTGGGGTACCCCTCCTCCTCAGCTTGCTAGCACTCACCTCCATCCGCAGTCTGGCCTCAAGCCTCGGAGACAACCTCCAAGTGGCTCCTGAACCCTTCCAGTTCTCTTCAACTCCACTGCCCCCACGCTAGTCCAAGCCACCGCCAGCCGTGGGCTGGAGGACAGAGAAGTCGCCCTTGCCCAGGTCCCCCTGCAGCCCCTCCTGCACCCCTGCAATCTTTTCCTCACCAGAAGCCCAAGTGATGCTTCCAACGTGCAAATGGGAACATGTCACCCCATGTTTAAACTCCTCCGAAGAGCCGCCTCCCCCATCACTCTTGGGAGAAAGCCTCAAACCTTCCCAGCCTGCTGAGCTCTCCAGCCTGGTCTCTCCCCCTGCCGCCCCCTCAGCCACGGCCCTCCAGCCTCACTGGCCTTTCCCTTCCCAGAACGTGCCCTGCCCTACCCCTGCAGGGCCTTGGCGCACACCGCTCCCTCTGCCTGGAATGCTCTTTCCGAGTCCTCTCAGCCTGGTTGGCACCCACTCATCTTTCGGTTCTCTTCAGGGATCCTCTGGTCTCTGACTTGGGGCCCCCCCGGCTGCTCTCTGCAACACACACCTCTCCTTCGTGACTATCGTTATTCGTAATTATCCATTGATTCAGGTGATTGCTTGATTCCTGTCTGTTTCCCCATTTAGACTGTTGGCTGCGTGTGGGCAGGGATGTGTCTGTCTTGTTCACGCGGTTGCTCGAACAGCAGGCCAGCGCATAGGAAGTGCTCGAAAACTATCTGCTGGACTGAGTGGAGAACTTTCTCTTGACTCCACACTTCACTCTCTAGTTTCCAGACGATCCTTCCTGAAACTTTTCTAATTATCTAAACTTAATTATCTAAACTTCTGTACCAGGAGCGTCTTTGCTGACTATCTATCACACTCAGGCACTGCAGTCGGGGTTCTGCTCCATCTCACCCCTGAAACTCTCTTGCTGAGGGCTCCGATAACCTCCTAATTACCAACTTCAGCGGGTGTTTTTCCATCCCTGTCTTATTGGAATTCTCTGCTGGGTTTGATATTGTTGATCGCTCTCGCCTTCTTGAAACGCTCGCTGGGCTCTCTTGGTTTCCATGACAACACCCTCTCCTTGTTTTTTAACCCGTCTCTATGACGACTTTTCCTTCCCAGTCTCGTTAATCAGAGTCTCTGACTCAACCACCCTTGAAATGTTAGGGTCCTGAAGCCTCGATATTGCGAAGATGTCAATTCTCTCCAAATTAATGCACAAATTCAATGCCTTCCTAATCAAAATCCCACCGGGATTTTTTAATGGAACTTAATAAGCTGATTCTAAAGGTCATATGGAAGAGGAGATGGGCAAGAATAGCCGAGATAATTTTGAGAAAGAAAAACAAGTGGTGTGAACACAGTAGGAGGGAAAGGACTGGACTGGCCCTACTAAGTAGCATATGATAAAGCAAGAGTGATTAAACAGTGTGGCCAGGCGCAGAGGCACTGATCGACAGAGCTGGAGCTTTCAGGACCAGACTGTGCCCACGCGGGAACTTGCCGTCTTCTAGGGAGGGCATTTCAAACGACGGGTACCGGTCCCAGGGGCGTGAAGCCCCCATGCCTCAGCTCTCTGAAGCTCTTGAGAGGGACCCACCCAGGCAGCCTCCCTCACTCTGAACATTTTCTTTCCCTTCCTGCCTATCCCTCCTCCCCACTTCAAAACTTGCCTGGTACAGGTACCATTTCCTTAAGAACTGGCTTTCTTTTTCTTGGTTTTCCTATTATAAAAGTAACACACTATCTTGGACGGTGAGTGTCTTGTATGTTGTGTTCATTATACTATTCTTCTCTTCTGTGTTTTTGAAATATATTGTCATAAAAACAGTGATGCCTGAACACTGCAGAAAATTTGGAGAGTAACCAAAGCACAAAGAACAGAAAAATCTTGACAAGATACCGGCAACCACAGTGGTGTTTTGTGAAAATGCATCTGAAAAGCACATTCCTTTTAGTCTTTCTTATGCATTTGTTTACAATAAATACTTTTATCGTATATATAATTTTGCACCACCCTTTTCCACTGATTATATGCTAAGCATTTCCCCGTGTTAGTCAACATTCTTTGTAATTATTATGTTTAATGGCTGCCTAATAACCCATTCACTGAATGAAACATAATTTGTTTAACCATTCTCCTGGAGTTGGAGATTTTGATAGCTTTCTTTTTTTTCCCCCTTTTTTCTTTTTTGCTATTATAAATAAAGCCACAGTGCACATCTTTCTGCACCAATCTTTGGGCATTGTTTTCGATCATTTCTTGGGATGAGCTTCCTGTAAATAGAATTCCTGAGTCAAACAGTATGAACCTTTTCGAGGCTCTTCACACATCTTAAGCAAATTGCCTTCTAGAAAGGTTTTGCCACTTGACAGTCCTGCCAGCTGTGCATGAGAGGTCCCATGTCACCAGGACTAAACCGGCACCGCGAGCCTCTTGTTCTGTAGTGCTCCTTCGATGGGCCCAAAGTGGTATCTCTCCGTTCTAATTTACATTTACTTTATTATGACTAAGTTCAACATTTTCAACTGAATTTGCCTTTTGAAATTCATCTTTCATAAATGGACTCTTACTGCCTTTTATTGCCCCAACATTTCATTATGAAAATTCTTACTGCCTCTGTGAATGTTTTATTTATGAGAATTTTCAACACAGAGAAGCTTTAAATTTCCTGTAGTCAATTATATTTGTATTTTCCATTATAATTCTGTCTATTGCTGTGAAAGCTACGATCGCCTCCTTCAATCACAGTTCAGATAATGAATCATTTCTACTTTTTTTCTAGTTAGTAGTATGCTTTTTTAAATTTTTTTGTGTTTAACTCTTTAAATCACCTGACATTGATTTTGGTGGTTATTATAAAGGGAGGTAAAAATTGTTTTCCAAATAGATTAAAATCACTTTACAGCCCCACTTAGTGTCAAATCCTTCCATTCTCCATTAATTTGTGATGCCTCTGCTCTCATAAGCCACAGTGGTAAACATTCTGGGGATCCACCTCTGACTTTCTATTCTATTCCATTGAGATGTCTTTCTTTCTTCTTCTTCTTTTTTTTCCCTGAGGAAGATTAGCCTTGAGCTAACATCTGCTGCCAATCCTCCTCTTTTTTGCTGAGGAAGATTGGCCCTGAGCTAACATCCGTGCCCATCTTCCTCTATTTTATGTGGGACACCTGCCATAGCATGGCCTGACAGTAGTGCGTAGGTCTGTACCCAGGATTCGAACTGGCAAACCCCTGGCCACTGAAGCTGAATGGGTGAACTTAACCACTGTGCCACCAGGCTGGCCCTAAGATGTCTTTGTTTTTTTGCAAAAAAAAAATGTTATTTTGTTTTATATTATACTGCAATATCTGTTAGGGTTAGAAGCCTTGAAATCTCCATTTCATAGGAGATCAGTTGCCCACGTGTCCAATTCCCACGTCCAACTTCCTTCTGCGTATGTCACTTTGGGTTTCCCGCAGCACCGCTTTTTCACACCTATACATGTTTTTCTAGCTATTTCTTTTCCCTGGAAGTCAAATCATATCACTGTGCTGCGTGGCCAGGTGTGGGTCCAGCCCTGAAATCCAGAGGCGGGGTCAGGAGAGCTGGGTTTGAGCACTACCCCTGCCAGCCGGGCACGGTGTCTCTGGACACCTCAGCTTCACTTTCCATGAAATGGGGTTGTGATGATCAGATGGGAGAAAGAATGTCAACCCAGCTTGATTCTCCAGGAACACCAGAGCGGGCAGAGAAGAAACGGCCCCTGCAGACAGGGCCTTTGGGGAGCTTCCAGGAAAGTAAGGGAGAGGAAGGGCTCTTTCAGGAACTAAGGAATTCTCCTGGGGCAGGACAGTCAGCTGGAGCATCCAAGGGGACTGAAAAACGGACGGGCAGATCAGGCGAGCTCTCCAGGCCTTGAGAGAGACCAGGTTTGGTTCCAAGGGCAGTGGGAAGTCACTGAAGGCTGGTAACACGGAGGAAAATGCCCTGACGGGATTTACGTTTCGAGAAGTCTGCTTTGACTTTGGTGTGATAAGTGGAAGGGTGGGGAGGACAGTCGTGAGGGCACGGTGGTAGGGAGACGGCGATGGGAGGCTGCTGGAACCAGGTGGCAGCAGTCGGGACAGAAGGGCCAGACTGGGGACGACTCTGGAGACAGAACTGCCAGGATTCGCTGGGATGGGATGGGGAGTGGAGGCAGGGAAGAGTCAAGGATGACTCTTAATGGCCGGGTTTGGGAAATTACGCTGAAGGCTGGGCCTTTTGCGGGAAAGGGGAAGACAAGAGGGAAGAGACAGTTTTGGGGAGAAGAAGTTAGCATTCTGATTGGCTGTGGCAAGTTTGGGGTACCTGTGAGAAGCATCCAAGCAGCTTGACAGCTGGGTAGTTAGCATGCCAGCCTTGAGAGGGCAGGGCTGGGGCATAGAATTGGAGTCATTAGTGATCACCAGGGTGAGAAGACAGAGGACGATGGAAAGAGCCCAGACATGAGTCTTGAGGGAGCCCAACACCTAGATGGCGGGTGGAGGAGGCTGAGGAGCGTGGTGGATGTTAACTGGGAGATCATGGTGGCACAATGGTGTCATGTGGCATCACAGAGGCCAAGGAGAGGCACTTTCAGGAGAGGGTGCTTAGCTATGTCAGATGCTGCCCCGAGGCTGAGTGAGTTAAGGAGAGAAAAGTACCCGCTGGACTGGGCACTGGGGGTTGTTGCAAAGGATGGCAGCGGTGAACAGGCAGGGGTGATGCCAGGCCCGTGGGCAGCACTGTCACCTGTGAAGAGCTGGGCTCCTGTTGGGCTGAGAAGTCCTAGCACTTCCTCCTGGTCACTTCCTCTGAGCACACCTCCCGGCGCCCCGCCAGGAGGCTAGCCTGGTGACATTTCCAGCCCCAACCCTTCCATCCCTACCTACCCTGACAGCTCGTTTCGCTGGAAATCTCACTCCCCCAGAGCTCCCATAACCTCTTCTTGGTAAAAAGAAAATTCTCTGAACCTCCATTTCAGACATTTGATTTCAAGCAGGGAATAATTATTCTGCCTCTACCTAGCTCGCTGCCTGTTGCTAGGTGCCAAAAGGTACAAAAAACTAGGAAGACATGGCCCCAGACATGAGGCAGGATGAAACCACTGCTAATTAGAGCTGTAGTCAGTACCCAGAGGGCAGAGAAAAAGCCTCCAGAAGAACATGGAGATCAGGTTACCCGGAAAAATGCATGTGATTTAATTTTGTTCTTTTCCACCAACACAACTAATCCCCGCACCTCTACACTTAATCCCCCCGTTCTCGGCCCGCTCACTACCTGCCCCTGCTCCCCACTCTCGGGCTCGCGCAGCCTCCTCCCTCCAAACGTCGGCGAGTGAGACTCAGCTCCTTCCTGGACCCTGCTGTCCCCCCAGCTGCCCCCTCCCCTCCTGCTTTCTCAGCCAGACTCCAGATCATCCCCCACCATGGTGGGCTTCTGCCCCTTCCCCACAGTTGCTGTGGCAAAGGTCCCCAAAGGCCGGTCCAGGGGATGCCCTCAACCCCCTGGTCTCTGTGCACCTGGCCCACCAGTGGCCACTCTCCTTCTGGAAACTCTCCTTCATGGGCTTCTGGGATCCCCTCTTTCCTTACCTTCCCCTCTCTCTCACACGCCCCTTCCCACATCCAACACCAGCCCTGCCCAGTGTCACTGTCGTCCAGGGCTTGGTCTCTGGCTTTCTCTTTCATTGTGCACCTTTCTCCTCAATCTCATAATGCATCCCTAAAGCTTTCCTACCTCCTGGGGGCTGATTCCCCAAACTGATGGTCCAGTCCAAGCCTCCTTTGAGAGGGGGACGAACATATCCATCTTTCTCTTTAATGACAACTCTTTCATTTGCAGGCCAGAGCCCCACTCCGAGCTCGGAACCCCCTGGCCAAGCATCCACCAACATCTCAGACATCTCTACAACCTGACCCAAACCTAATTCCTGGTCTGTTTCTCTTTTATCACTTGACTATCCCTTTTTATTCAAACTCCTAATCTTTCTTCCCCAAATTTGTCCTCATCTATAGGATGACAGTGTTTCCTATTTTGGGGAATGACACTGCTGCTATGGTGGGAGACACTTGGCAGTCACCCCAGGATCTCCTCCTACTTCACCCATGACATCCTGTTGTGAGGCTGGTTGAACTTTCTTTCTTTTAAGATTTTATTTTTCTTTTTTCTCCCCAAAGCCCCCTGGTACACAGTTGTATACTTTAGTTGTGAGTCCTTCTAGTTGTGGCATGTGGGACGCCGCCTCAGCATGGCTTGACGCGCAGTGCCATGTCCGCGCCCAGGATCCAAACTGGTGAAACCCTGGGCCACCGAAGCAGAGTGAACAAACTTAACCACTCGACCATGGGGCTGGCCCCAAGCTGCTTGATCTTATCTCCTAACTGTCTCCAACATCATCACCAACAGTTTAGTCCAAGCCACCATCTCTTGCTTGGTCCACTCCAGTTAACTGCTAATTGGTCTCCCCCAATCCATTCTTCCCCTAATAATCCAAGCCCCACAGGGCAGCCAGAGTGGTCTTTTCAGAGTACACATCTTTTTAATGTCCCCCTCCTACTTAAAACTGTTCAATGGCTCTTAGAGAAAGATCAACTTTGATTTCTCAAGCCTCAACATACACCATGGTCCCACCTCTGATGTGGTTCCTACCCAACAGTCATTTCTCCTTGGTTCTTGCTAACAGAAGCCACTCTCCACGTGACATAGATTGATCTACGTGAGTCAGGGGGGTAGGCCCACTTCTTTTGCCAGTGATTTGTTTCTGAGTGAGCATTCAGTGCAAATCTGACCAAAGAGAGGTGGAGGTGGTGGGGTCTTCTGGGAAAAGTTTCTTAGTTCTTACAAAGAACTATAAGGAAGAATCACTTCCTTTCATCCATCTCTGGATATTGGTATGGTGGATGTAATGCCTAGAGTGGCTGTAGCCATCTTGTGACCATGGGGACAGGAGCACATATGCTGAAGATGGGAGAACTGAAAATGGACAGAAACTGAGTCCTTGATGACATTGGAGCTGTCTCCCTTGGGACTTCTCATTATATGAGATAATAAATCTCTGACTGTTTAAACGTTTTTTAGTCGCGTTTTCTGTCACTTGTGTCAAAATTATTCTTACTGATAAGTGCCACAGCCATGACGGCCTTCTGGTTTCTGGAATGCACCATCCTTCTACTACAGAGCTCTGCATATGCTGTTTCCTTGTGTGCAATGCTCTTCTCATTCCTAGTTAACTTTTGCTCCTCTGATCAAATGTTACTTCTTTGATGTAGGAAGACTTCTTCATGGCACCTATTAGAGTTTAAAACTATGGATTTCTTTATTTACGTGATTAATATCTGGCTCCCTCACTGGACCGGTAGGTCTATGTAGGGAAAGACCAAGTCTGTCTTTGCTCAGCACTGTGCACCCTCCCATGTGACCATCCTGGTGTTATACGAACCAAGTTCACCGATGCAGTCAGGGGCCTGGCAGGTAAGAGGGTGGTGCACTCAAAAGGGTTTAACTGAAACGAATTTAATGAAAGGGTTATTCACAGAGTGTCGCAGAGCTAAGGGTTCCAGAGATGATAAAAGACCTATGGACAAGCAACACTTGGAAGCCATCGCCACTTGTAAACCTGATGAGAGAAGGGTATGGGCTTTTAGAATCTGGAGAGAAAGCTGTGACTTTAAGAAAGAGACCCCACTTGTGGCCATAAGTAAAGGAAAGCAATCAGTGTCAACCAACAGCATATCGGAAGGCAGCGGGGGGAACCTCACTCTCCTCCCCTCTCCCACTCTCCTGCTGGCTCTTCCACTGGTTTCTCACCTAGAAGCCTGAGGGCGGGGAGCCTGGGTGATGTACAGGTCTGCCATCCAGGGCACAGAACGGGATGGGGCAAGATAGAGAATGGCTCTGGAGGGGCCATTGAAGAATATCCAGAACAGTCACCAAATGACCCTCTAGCTACTCAAGTCAATGCACGTTTTCCCTTTCTTATCAGTTGTAAGCCCCCCTGCAGAATTTGACGGTGTAGACAAGCTTACCTCCAAGTTTTTCGGGTTCGGAAAGGGCATCACAAGAGAGTCTTTTCTGTGTCTCACCCTCCTCCCTCCAGACATCTCCAGTCATATCCACTTGTCTCCTTTCAGCCAGGCTCAGAGGATGGATCCCGGCTCTCAAATTGTTCCTCTTTTCATCCTCTTCCTCTCTGCTGGTGCCCTCTTTCAAGAGGAGAAAATTCTAGTGTCTCTCGTTTTCAAAAATCCTTCCTTGATCACCCACATTTTTCTCGTTGCCACCCAACTCCTCCCCTAGTCATCCAACCTTTTCTAAGGAGGACTCTGCATCTCTTCCACCCATTCACTCCATTGCCCCCTGTAAGCTAGCTTTTACCCCCTCAACCCTTAAAACAGTTCCTGCCAAGGTTCATACTAGCCCCCCGATTACTAAATTCAAAGGACTTTGTTTCTTATTTTTGTGAGATTCCGGCCATATAGCAGTGTTGATTACTTTCTCCTTGAAACGCTTCACTACCTTGGTTGCCATGGCAACCCACTCTCCTAGCTGTTTGTCTCATCTCTCAGGTCCTTCCTTCTCTCTCTGCTTTGTCACCCACCCACACCTAGTCGGCCTCTCAAATGTCGCTGTAACTCACGATTCTGCCCTGGATCCTCTCCCATTCTCTCCCTACACTCTCACCCTGGAGAGTACCCCATCCCTGGGTTGGCCCTCTAGTCCAATCTCTTCCTGAGCCTCAGGCTTTGGGATCCAGCTGCCTGCTGGGCTCCATCAGGCTGTTCCCTTGGCCCCTCCACACAAGCTGAAACTGAGTCCATGGTTGCCTCCCTCAAACTTGCCCCAATGTTGTGTTCCCCACACCAAGCGCTTCCGTACCATCCACCGAAGGCCCCACCCAAGACAAATGGGACTTACCCATGACTCATCCCTCTCTCTCACCCCAACGGCAAACAATCATCATTCATTTCTGACTTTACTTTTTAAAGGTTTCAGGTTCTGTCCATCCCCACTGTCATTGCTCCAGATCGGGCCTCACCCTATCTTACCTGGACCATGACCCTAGTCTTGTACTTGGTTTCTCTACCTAGAGACCATCAATTTACAAATCTAGCCTTTGCGCTGGCTACCACAGTGATTTTCCCAGACCATAAACCTGAAATGTCACTGGTGTGAAAACTTTCAATAGTGCCCACTGACTACAGGATGGTGTCCAAGCTCCTTGACATGGGGTGTGACGGGGGAGGGGCATCCAAGGCCTTGCAGGCCTGAACTCTGTCTACTTGTTCAGTCTCACTCTTGCTGTTCCCTCCTTCTCTCACATTCCAGGAACACCAAATGCCCTCAAGCTCACTCTTCTTAATTCTCACTTCTGCACCTTTGCTTGTGTTGTTTCCTTTCCTTGGAATGTCCTTCCAGTCCCTTCTATCTTGCTCATTCCTACCCATCTTTAAGAAGTCAGACCACTGGTCATCTCTGGAAAGCTCTGTGCATATCTATGTTCTATATTGTATCTATATTATATAGTTATTATATATTATATATAATACAATAACATATAATATATATTATATTATTGCAGTTAGTATACCGTATTATAATGCTCCACTTAAATGTTGTGCCACAGGGTAATATTTTATATATTATTCAATGTGTTTTTTTCCCCACACTTCCTTGCCCATCACTGTTTTGTGTAACAAATGACCCCAAACTTTAGTGGCTTGAAAAGGCAATTTATTATTTCTCATGGTTCTGGAGTTGGCAGGGCTCAGCTGGGTGGTTCTTGCTTAGTCTCTCACACAGCTGCAGTCAGATGGCGGCTGGGCTTGAGTCAGCAAACGCTCCACTGGGCTTCCTGCGCAGGAAGCTCATTCACACAGCTGGGAGCTCAGCTGAGGCTGTCGACCGGCGTGCCCACAGGTGGATTCACTGCACAGGTTGGACTCTGCACTGCATGGCAGCTGGGTTGCAAGAGGAGTGTCCCAGGGTTGGCCCGGTAGCACAGCGGTTAAGTGCACACATTCCACTTTGGAAGCCTGGGGTTCGCCAGTTCGGATCCGGGGTGCGGACACAGCATTGCTTGGCAAGCCACGCTGTGGCAGGCGCCCCACATATACAGTGGAGGAAGATGGGCATGGATGTTAGCTCAGGGCCAGTCTTCCTCAGCAAAAAGAGGAGGATTGGCAGCAGATGTTAGCTCAGGGCTAATCTGCCTCAAATAAATAAATAAATAAATAAATAAAAAGAGGAGTGTCCCAAGGCCAGGTGTTTCAAGAGGGCTGTGCAGAGTCTACAAGGCTTCTGATGACCTAGTCTCACAAGTCCCAGAATGTCCCCTCTGCTACATTCTTTTTGGCCAAGAAAGTGACTAAGGCCGGCCTAGGTTCACGGGGAGGGGAAGGAGACGCCATCTCTTGATGTGAGGAGCAGTGGGAGGACACAGGGAGGGCAAGGACTGATGGGGCCATCTTTGGAGACTGGCTACCATGATAACTCTCTGCTAACTCAGTCAGAGCTCTCGGGG